AGGTCAGGGCACGAGTGAGGGCTATGAGTTCTGCCTTTTGTGATGAAGTACCAGGGGAAAGGGGATTGGCCTCAATGGTTTGGGTCAGGGAGACTATAGCATATCCTGCTTGGGGTCCATCTGGGCCAGAGGAGGAGCTCCCATCTATGAACCAGGTGTGTTGGGCTTGGGGTAGGGGTTGGGTATGTACTGAGGTGGTGGTAGGGATGAGGTCAGTTAAGGATTCAAAACAGGAGTGTGTGGGCTGTACGTCTGAAAGAGGAAGGAGAGATGCTGGGTTGAGGGTCCTGCAGAGCTTTAGTGAGACTTGAGGGTTCTTGATGAAGGTGAGTTGAAAAAGTTGGAGGCAAGAGGGAGCTAGAAGGTGTAGAGCTTGGTGTGAGAGAAGGTCTATGAGATGATGGGGGGAATAGACTGTAATATGCCCCTGGAGTGTTAGTTTTTGGGCTTCTTGTGTTAGGGTGGCAGTGGTCACCAGAGCCCTAAGGCAAGGAAACCAACCTCGTGTTGTCTGGTCCAACTGTTTAGACAGATAGGCTGTGGGGGCAAAATCTGGGCCCTTGTATTGACCCAGGACTCCTAAGGCTGTTCCATGAAATTCTGAAGTGAATAGGTGAAAGGATCAGATTGGATCAGGAAGGGCAAGGGCAGGCACCTGCAGAAGCAGAGTTTTAATCTGGGTAAAGGCCTGAAGGACGAGGTGGGAGTCTGCTAGGGTTCATCCTGAGGTCAACGAATAGCATCATACAGTGGTTTAGCCAGGAGTGCGAAGTGGGGGACCCACAAGTGGAAGTACCCTGCAAAGCCAAGGAAAGATTGGACCTGTGGTTTTGTAGTGGGGGGAGGGGAAAGAGTGGAGGGCCTCCCTAAGGTTGACCATGAGATCCCTTGTGGTGGGTGTAAGTTGGAACCCCAGATAACAGACCAAGGGGAAAGAGAGAGCTGTGCCTTTGTTCTGGAAACATGGTAGCCCTTTTGAGAGAAATAGGAGTGGTGTGGAGGTGAGACAGGTGAAGAGAGGGGCTGCATAGGAGCAGGTCACCTACACAGGTCATTGGAGCAGGTGACTGGGTTTGAGATCTAAGTGGCCAGATCGGTCGTGAGAACCTGGCTGAAGTAGTGTGGACTGTTCCTGAATCCCTGTGGGAGGACAGTCCAGGTTAGTTGTGAAGTGATCTGTGTGATGGGGTCTTCCCAGGTAAAGGCAAAAAGTGGGTAGGAGGAGGGGTGTAAGGGAATAGTGAATAAGGGGTGTAAGGTTGGAGAACTGAGAAATGGGTTGTGCCTGGTGGGATATGGCTGAGAAGGGTGTATGGGTTAGGGACTACAGGGGTGACATGGCGGATAGCTGAGTTAATGATGTGGAGGTCTTGAACAAGCCTGTAAGAGCCGTTAGGTTTGATGGTGGGGAGGATAGGGGAGTTATATGGGGAGTGTGTAGTGATGAGAAGTTTTTGGTTGAGGAGCTGGT